GGGGTGAACAGGTGCTACCGATAGTACTGGGGGGTGGCAGATGCTGCTGATAGTGCTGGTGGTTGGTTTGGCGGATGCAGTGGTAAGGGCAAACTCTGTAGAGTCGTGCTGTGAGCGACTCTGTCCTGCCCAGCTCACTTACATCAGGTGCCTAGGCACTCTTGTGCCTATAGCCTCATAGCTGTATATCTGCAGTGTGAGATCTAAAGGCACTGCAGCCACTGACTGCTAAGGCATGATAAGTCAGTAATATGGAAAAGATGAGCTGTAGAAGACCACCGGCAATACTGGTGACTAGTCCTTGGTCCTATGCCGGCATTTGTGGGCACAGCTTCCACGGTACAGGTCCTCCCCAACTATTTGTATCTCATTGCCAACAGCTACTGCCCATTATACTTGAACAGAACAGGTTCCGAGCAGATGCCGCGCTGCTTATCCAGGAGGCTGAAAGCTGTCAGTGTCACCCAGTGTTCCCCTTCACCGTCCTGCACAAAAGGAGTAGCAGGCGGCTAATCTGCTTGCTTACCATAACAGAACAATGCTGGCTCATTGTATGGCCACAAGCAAAGCAAACAGGTTACCATGGGCTGCCCTGGGCACCGGGCCTAGGCAAGCTGTGACGTGAGGCCTTGCCTCCCAAACTTATCAGCTTTCGTGACGGACGGAACACGCCATGCTGATGCTGAAGCAACACCTCAATAACTGGAGCGATAATGTTGTAATGAACTGGTGATAAGGCCGGGTAAGGGGGAGGGGGGGGACCTATAAACACAGACTATCCTGGCTCTACTGAGATATCTGCAGGAGTCATTTCAGATCTGCAACAAGGTGCTGCACAGCAAAAACAGGCCACGGCAGAGATATGCAGATTTTGTTGTGCATGCATCAAGGACAATGACGTGAAGTTTCACTGCAGAGGATAACAGGAGGAAAAGTATACTTGGGACATCATTTCAAATGTTCGGGAACACGGAACATCTTGATCTCGGAGTTGGAAAACATGAAGCGTGAGTTACCAAATGGTCTGAGAAAGATAAGAACCTAATTCCACCTGTGACACCATGTTCCATGTTACACCCATATCTATCGTGGAACATGGTGCCACTCTGCAGCCCCCCCCCCCCCCCCCATCCTCAAACTGCCCCATTGGGTGTCATAATACCTGAACAGTGCCTACAGATGATTGGATATTCAGCCACCAATTTTACGGCCAGCTGCTTTGATCTTTCAATTGAAGATGTTGACCAGAAGCCGGCCGACAGGGCCACCCACTGAGCAAATTTGAGCTCCTTCATAAAGAACCATCCGAAATTCCCCCAATGTATAGCCGGCTTCATGAATGAACACAACCGATGTTTAGCCAGGACAGGAAGTTGTGCCGAGTGTGCACTTATATCAGGCAGGAGCCGGCAGACGGGGCCACCCACTGAACCAATTCTGCATGGTTCAAGAACCGTCCGACATTCCCTTATTGTATAGCCGGCTTCATGAATGAACAGAGCAGATGTTTCGCCTGGACAGGAAGTTGTACAGTGCACTTATATCAGGCAAGAGCCGGCACACTGGGCCACCCACTGAACCAATTCTGCTGCTTCATCAAGAAGCGTCCAAAATTCTCCCAATGTATAGCCGGCTTCCTGAATGAATTCAGCACATGTTTGCCCGGGACAGGAAGTTGTGCTGTGCACTTGAATAAGGAATTGGGCCAAAAATCACTTCCAGGATGCACGAGGAGGGGTACATATGTAAAATATATAGCAAGGATTACACATATGGTATAGAACAAGAGAAGTGGTACTGTGCAGAGTCCATACATACATAGGAAGGAGGAGGAGCAGCGGAGTGTCTTGCCTTGCTGTGCATTTGTGGAGACGCACACAGCATATTAGCACACACGAGGGTGACTCCATAGGACCCTGCAAGGGAAAGGATGTCAGGACCAGTGCTCGGGACCAGCTGATTCTGAAAGAAATATCAAGGAGCAGCATCCATTGTAAGTGATTTCATCAGCACTTTTGACTTTCATTTGTAACTAGGGATGCACCAATACCGTTTTTGCGCCATCGGCGAGTACCGAAACCAAAATATCGGTACTCATACTCGATACCGGTGCGTCCGCTGGAATGGAGCTGGCTTCCCGGGCACCCAGATGCCGCCGCCGCCCTTTGTCTAATGTCACTTTGCTGCCACGAATATTCGTCTAGAAGCGATAATTTGTACAGACTACCGCTAATAAATTTCTTCCGAGATTATGGTTTTCGGAAATTCGGATTAGTTCTCATTAGTCATTTCTGTCATTCTGAGATTCGGATATATCCAAATCTCCGAAAATACGTCCGAATAATGAATCTTTCGGAAACAAATCGCACATGTCTAATGGTTAACAGAGCAGCACGGGAGCGCAGGGAAGGTAGTATCAGGGTAAATGTGGGGGGCCGGGTGTGTCGGGGCGCAGGGGGATTGTTCTGTCACTTTGCTCTTAATTGGACATTATGATGAGCAATGAGACAAAAGACACACACCTGCAAATGTACTAAATGGAGGGGACAGGTACGCTGCAAATGTCACGGCCACCAGGTGTCTGTTCAGTCTCTGGTCTAGAGATAGGGTGTTCCGATCTCTGCATCTCCTAGTGTTCTGCAGGGCATTACACAACCACCAATGTCACATCAGCTGGATCACAGGCCGCCCCGTGTCCCTGGGAATCTCAGGCGGCAGCAGCAGCTGTGACAGATTGCAATACGTCTCACAGACAGGTCAGGGGCGAGGGCTTGCGCACAGTGGCCTGACACGCGCATTGCACAGCGTTGCTGGACGACGTGTGTGTAGATTAACGGCGTTCCTGTCAATCAAATGATGATTTCCACACCAAAACCAGACAGACGGCGATAAAAGAACGCGCTGCGTTGCTCAATTTAAGAAGAGCTCCGCTAAGCACTCGCTGTATCTAAAGTAAACACAGATCGTGACCTATAATGACAGAAAAGTCTAGTTTAAATGTTAGTGCTTTGGCTTGGTAAATATTCACTTATAGCCGAGTATGTCTGAACCAGGGAAAAAGAAAAACTCAGCTCCTATAATGCAAAATGTCTCTCTGTTCTGCACCCAAATGCACCGAGCTAACATTCTGCATGATGCAATGGAGTCACTATGCACAGACCCGTGCATTGAACATCAAAATCTGCCCAGTAGGCTGTGGTGTACTGAGATTCTAGAACAAAGGCTAAAGGTAATGAAGGTGACAAGAACGTGCAGAGCGGTAATGAAGGTAACCAGAAAGTGCAGAGCTGTAATGAAGGTGACAAGAACGTGCAGAGCGGTAATTAAGGTAACCAGAAAGTGCAGAGCAAGCATGGTGGTAAAAAGAAACTGTAATGAAGGTGACAAGAAAAAATTTACATATGGTTCAGAACAGGTTAACCTTAGTTACATTGAACATTATGGGAAAATTTGATTCTTTTTGTGACCAAAATCGGTTCACGACCACGTTCGTAGGGGTCAGAACGGATTAACCTCATTTACATTGAACCTTATGGGGAAATTTGACTTGGTTCGCGACCAATTCGGTTCTGCGACCAGAATCGTGGAACAAATTAAGTTTGTGAACCGAGGTTTTGTAAATCGGACACGCAGAAAAAGGCTGCAGCCAAGTCTTCACACCGCCGCCCGTCTGCCGAAGAGAACATACGTCTCAAATTTAATTGTAGAGGCGGATAATTATAAAGCAGTATCTGCGCTAAAAATCACTAATGAGTTTATTTAAATCTGTTCTCGCTGCAGGCTGCACCTATAAATCATGGCGGTGCCTGATGAGATAATGGCATTCTGCGCACATCGCTTGCACGCTGATTAGAGGGCGCTAATTGGCCACTAAGATGATATCCGACCTCCTGTTGTTGGCATGTAATTGAGCAAGGCTGCGTACGCCTCTCGAGTGATCAGTAGAAACATCCAGCAAGCGACACGCGTAACTGGCACCGGCGGCCGCTAAAAACACACCGGTGGGAGGCAGCAGACATGAGGACAAAACATACGATGCGTCAGAGGTACGAAAAGGTCATCTGTTCCCTCCAAAATTTATTTTTACTTGAAAACTTGAAAACTTTCAAGCTAAATCAGAGATCGCTTACAAAGATGACATATCTAAATCTCAGGACTCTCTGTCCTCAAAGCGATTTGATATAATGAGCAACTACACAGGTGCGATTCGTTTAGTTCCGAATCAAAATTCTTACGAATCCCAATGCATCCGAATCCGAATTTCTGCTTCCGAATTTCGGATCAAAAACAAATCTGAATTGTGACTTTTCTGGCCAATCAGATGTGTTTTTCGGGTTAATGCATCCGAATGGGTCTGAACATGAATTTTCGTTACAGCAACGTGGGAGCCATATAATTATCTGTATATGGTTTTCTGTGGTATTTGCAACGAATATTCGTAAAATCATCCGAAACAAACGAAAATTCGAACCGAATTGAATTTTGGATCCGAATCCCGAAATAGTCGAACCATATTTTTACGCAGCTTACATGTCTATGAGCAACAGCATAATAACAACATAAGATTACATTAAAGACCA